CTTGGGACGGTGCAAACAGGAGGATCACTATGAGTTTGATCTGTGTACTGAGACCCTGTAGACTCTGTACTAAAATACAAAAACCAAACAAACAAACACCCAAAAACAAACAAACAAAAAACCTAGAAATGGAGGTCTGATTTGACCTACCTGTTCCCCTGCTGGGTATCTTCCTGGAAAAATTAAAAACTTCATACCACAGTGACATACATGCACCCATATTCATAGCAACACAATTTGTAACCACTAGATCTTGGAAACAACCTAATGCCCATCAAACAAGGAATGGATAAAAAAGATGTGGTCTTTTTGTATAAGGGTGTATTAAACTACTCAGCTATAAAAAAGATAAACTTGAGACTGTTACAGGTAAATGGATTCAACTTGAGACCATACTAATAAATGAACTGTGCCAGCCTCACCAGTATGAGGAAGTGAAACAGCAAATAAGATCCAAAATGTACAACAGGTATTATAAAATGGGAAGAAACTTCAAAAGGGAAGAGAAACTGCTATAGGGGAATGGAGAAGAAAAGAAAGGTAAAAGAAAAACATAAAAGATAGCTATAGTACTAATTTCTATCAATTCATTGAAAGGAAGCATTTGTGCTAATATTGTTTGGACAACTAAATGCCTATATCTTGTACTCTGAATGACTAATAGAAAGATAACAATGTGCAATGTATTAGCCATTGTTACCATCCTATTACCTTGTTTTGAAATTTTTTTCTCTTTATAAAAACAGAAAAAAAAATATTCCCTGGGGATGCTAAGATGTATGGTAAAAATGGAATTTCTCTGAAGTTGTAAAGGAAAAAAGAAGTTTGTACTAACTTTGCTCTTGTACCTCAAGCTGCAACACTCACAGCCACAGTGTGTTAAAATCGCTTAGTTAAGATGCATGAGGCTTCAACTCTATGAGTGGAAAGCTTATGGCAGTTGCTAATGGCGTGTCACTCTAGGAAGACTTGAGCCCATCCAGAGACTTCAGTAAGAGGTCCCCAAAATAATGGCATTAATCCACTTATTCCATGGGGGGCAGGAGTAAGAGAGAGGGAGAGAAAGAGGCCACAGTCATGTAACTTTTAGATAAAGCCATGTAATGTGTTTTGGTCACATATTTATTGTTATACTTTGGTTATGCAGATCACTAGATTTCCTTTTGGCAGATTTGCACAGGCACATTTATATTTTAATTATCTGCCTGATTATCCATGTTGGGTGGGACTTCCACATGAGTAATGTGTTTGATCATAACCATGTTCCCTATTACTAGCCCTCCTCCCCCTCCCCCTTCTTTCCTTTTTCTTGTCTAGTAATGTCTACCTTCTACTTTCTTGTCATCTTTTTAAGAGTCCATTTATTAGGGAAAACATGTTATGTTCGTGTCAGGCATCTTTGCTCAACTTAATGATCTCCAGATTCATCCATATTTCCACCAATGACAAACTTTTAACCTATTTATGTAGAGTAATATTTCATCGTGGATGTATACCACATTTTCTTTACCCATCCATCTATTGATGGGCACCTAAGCTGGTTCCATAGCTTGGTTCTTGTATATTGTGCCACAGTACAGGGTGCAAATATCTCTGCGGTACACTAACTTTAATTCTTTCAAGTATATACCAAGGAATGGTATAGCTGATCAAATGATAGTTCTAGTTCTTCCTGTTCCATGGTGACTATATTAATCTATATTCCCACCAGCAGAGTAGAGTAGAAGCATTCCTCCCCCTGTCCCACCCCACCCCACCCCCACATCCTTGCCAGCATTTATTATTATTATTTTTTATATTTAGTACAGGGTCTACAGGATCTCCCTACACAATCGGATTCATAATGATCCTCCTGTTTTCAGCCTCTCAAGTGCTGGGATTATAGGCACGCGCCACCACACCCAGTCTTAGTTGCCATACCAGCCACCCGGGGATTGAACCCCAGTCCCTGCGTCTGCCTAAGCAGGTGCTTTAATCCACTGAGCTCTTGTCTGCCCTTATTTTTTGTATTCTTGATGATAGCTATTCTGACCAGAGTGAGGTGGAATCTCAATGTAGTTTGGATTTGCCTGTCCTTAATAGCTAAAGATGTTGGACCTTAAAAGCACTTATTGGTCACTGGTACTTCTTTCTTCAAGTGTCTGTTGAGTTCTTTTGTCAATTTATTGATTGGACTATTATATTTTTGGTGTTAAGATTTTAAATACTGTATATTCTAGATATTAACCCTCTGGTGGAAGAGTAGCTGGTAGGGATTTTTCCCTCATTCTGAGGCTTCTGTTCACTGTTGATTTCCTTCCTATACAGAAACTAATTTGATGTAACCCCATTTGTTGATTGTTGCCATTATTTTCTGTGCTATTCAAGAAGACTTTGCTTATGCCCATGGCTTTGGTTGTTTCCCTTGTGTAAACAAACATTATTATAATTGTTCTATTTTGTTCGTTATTACTAATCTCTTAATAAATTAAAACTTATAAATTAAACTATATTGTGTACATATAGGGAAATGTAAGTGTAGGTATGTATATATAGGAAAAAGTAGTGCGTGTGGGATTACTAGCTGTGGTTTCAGGTGTTCACAGGTGTCTTGGGACTGCTTCCCAAAGGTGAGGGCTGATGTTTTTGTAGCATTGCGCTGGGACAGGAAATTTTCTTATATACTTGTACTTTCCTACATTGCCAGTAGGTGGGGACTCATTGCCATCAGTACTAATGTTTGTAATGGTCAGAATTTTTAAGTGTATTTCACTTGAAACTCACACTTCCTCCAACATCCTAAGTACTGGAAACTGGGTGGGTCTTTGGCTTTTGAAGTTAACTGTGGAACCAAAAGTTTATGACAAGTTTTGAGAGAGGAATGAGTGGAGCTGTAGAAGTTTTAGCTTCTGTTCTGCTAGGTCTTCACTCTTAAAGCCAAGCATACAGGCCCCTGGAAATCTTTCTTGTTCTCTGCTACTGTTGGCGTCCATTTGTTTTAATAATCAACAAGGGATACTGAGGAAATAATATTTAATTTCCTCTTGAACTCATTTCCCCTCCCCTGACAAGTTCCAGACGTTTTGTGTGAATTTTCTTGCCCATGCTGGGTAGTGTGTTGCTCTTTGATATTTTAGTATAACTGAAATGACTGTCTTCTGGGCTGTCAGTCAGTTGGTGGCCTCTTGTGAGCAGTTGTCTTCGTCTGCTCTGCAGTTTCCAGGGCTCTGCTCCGAGGAATGCTGGGGCCTTTTGCCTTGGAATTCACACCCCAGGAGGCCTCGCCACTCAGTCCAGCCCACAAAGCCACTGTCTAAAGAAAAGCTCACTTTTAGAGCTAGAGGTGGACGCTGTGTTTTGGCCACAGATGAAAAGTCAAGGGGATTCTTGCTTACCACTCTCCTCAAGCAGTGTTTCTTGGAAACAGCTGAGATGAACATCTATCTAAAATAAAATCTTAGGACTTGTAGGCAAGTAGCATGAAGTCAGGAATGGTATGGTGCAAGTCTGGGACCTGCACTGATTTAAGTGGACTATGGATTTAAGCATTTCAGGGCAGCCCCTGCCTTCCACCTCCACCCCAGACCCCATCAAAGTCCTGAGCCTTAGAGAATTTCTTTTGTGAGTTTAAGCTACTTGTCATCCACAAACCTCTAGCTGGGCAATCCTGACAGTCTCCCACAAGATAAAGAACATTCTTCCCTCTTATAAAACTGTCAGCACATGCCTAGCGGCAAGCACTGCATCATCAGATATATTCTTGAAGCCAGCATTTCATTGACAATAATGCAAGCAGCAGCCAGGACACAGGTAGCTTCTCATGGATGGGAAGAATGTAGTCTAGGAAGCAGGAGGCAGCAAGACAGCAGTACTTAAGTAACACAGGTGTGGACAAGTCCTCAGGAGTTCATTCTCCTGATGAGCAGAAAGGTAGAATAGAATGGGGTTGGGGGATATCAGCCTCTAGTCTGAAGCAAGAATCAAAAAGTTACAGTGTTAGCAATGTCATGGTTAGGTCGGTTTTTCTTTTATGCTACAAAATTACTTCCCAGAGGCTCCCACTCTGGCCACCATGTGGTTAATCTCCCAAAGGCATACTCAGCTGGTCCCTTCCCTGGTGCTCCAGAATTAGGTTCAAACTTGGTTTGGCATTCAGAGGCTCCATAATCTAAATTCCAAACTACAGTTCTTTGTGAGGTTCACTCCAATACTACCCACTCCTCCCCACCCTCCTCTGTCTCTGCCTCCAACATTCCGTAGGTCCATTATTGAACTCTGTGTTGGGACTGCCTTTCCCGAACCTGACCACCTGTCCATGTCTCACCCAGTTTGTGAAAACCCTCCATATGTATGTGTTTCTCATAAGACTCCTTATTCTACTGCAACTGAATTCCAGTAAGTTTTTGTCATGTCTTGGCCCATATCCATCCGACCTTGCTTTTTTTCTATCGATGCTGTATGTTTCCTTCCTCTGGCATGAATGAAAAGCAGAAAACAGATAAAGAAAACTTTATTGCTCAGGTGCAGGAGGGCTGATGAAGAGAAGCAAGAACCCTCTCAGGAAGAGGCAGGGAGACAGAGAATTTAGCAGGCTGGCTTGGGCGGTAACATTGCATGGGCAGTAACATTGTATGGGCAGTAACATTGTATGGGCGGTAGGGTATCGTAACAGTTGCTTATTGGAGAAGGCTTGGTAAGAACAGAAAACAAGCAGTAAAGGAAGATTGAGGCTAACCGAGGGGAAGAAGATGCAAGTCAGTCTAGGAGCAGTATGCCCTTGGTCTTGGATCCCCAGGCCATGCTGGCTCACCAGCATGATGACCCAGTGGACTTTCATATGGGCGCAGACCCATCAAGTGCCTTTTGCTGTCCTCACACCAAGCTTCCCTTAGTCCCTGCCCTGACTGTTCACAGTACTGGCAGCAGGTATTCCAGACATGTTGAAAGGAGATACTTCAAATGATCAAAGAATGTGAATATGAATACCAAGCAGTGTCTGTAACAAAAGTTCCACTCTGATGGAGAACACTGTGAAAAATATATCTGAATTTATTAAGGATAATATAATACAAAGTTGTGACAATAGAAAGTAAAAATTAAAATGGATTGATATAAATATGCTGGAGCCTAGCTCATCAATTATTAAGATGAAATAATTCTCCCATTCTATAAAGTCTATAAAGAAAGACTTCTACTGTACACATAAGGAATACTTCTTCAGAGCACAAAGTGAATGGGAAGGGGCAAGATAATACTGAGTTCTGAGGGTGGTCTTGGAGAGCGTGACCTGGCCAGCCAGCCCGTCCCTCACTCAGACCTCGTCAGCTCTCCTGTAACTATAAATACACATTCTAGTTCTAAGGCAGTCCTCCTGTCCTGCAGGACCTGGTCGCTTCTTACTATTGAGGCCCGCTTTCCTCTGAGGTCCCAGTGCTCCAGTGCTCCTGACCCATGATGAGGCCAGGCTTTTCTGCCTGCTGGATCTCAAGAGAGGGTAGCATTTATTGACCTGTCTTCTCACCTGACATAATACATTCTCAAGTCAGACTTCAGTCCCTAAAACCTTACCCCCAAAAAGTTACACTTCATTCTCTTCTGCTGATTCTCCTCCTTGCCACAGTTGGTGGATTATGAGAAACTGGCACAGAGAAACAGTTGGTGTTGCAGTGTCTTTGGAAAAGGAGGAAAGCAGGTTCTCCTCTGAGTGCAGGAACTGGGTGTTCTTGGTCATGGTCGCATATTGTCTTCAATCCATGAGAGGTAATTAGCGACCTTGGTGTACACACCAGGAACATCCTTCTGCCCACAGCCAATGCCCCAGCTGATAATGCCAACCAGAGTCATGCGCTGATCCTTCATGCACACCAAGGGGCCTCCTGAGTCACCCTGCAAAAGACCCACAGGGTAACTATTCACAAACAGCAGAATAAGAAAATTAGGGTTTTTGTTTTTAGTGTGAAGTTCTGAGAACAAAGGTTTTATCCCTCCATCTTGATCCTCTAGGGCAAACCTTTCAGAGATTGAGTGACCAACTACAACTCAAAACCCACTTATTTATCACTAAGTGCCAACAACGCAATTAAACCTGAATACTTAGGTTTTAGTTTTTTAAAAAACTCACATGTTAATATACTTTGCCTTAAAAGGAAAACACAGTAACACACATGCCATAGGTTTACCATGTTTACTTTGGGGAATCTCGTAGTACCTCCTGAGATAATGGTTCAGGGATGGGTTGTTTAACAAATGCTACTGTGTGGAAGGCCTGGGGTTCAACCCCAGAACTGATAGAATAACTGACTTTACCACTTGCCAACTGTTGTGGTTTGTGTCTAGGTGTATCCCCAAAGTCTTAGGTGGGGGGCTTAGTGGAGATGGCTGGATCTGAAGTGGGTGATTAATAAATTAGTCCACTGATTGGTTTTGCACAGTTCTGGGTAGGGCTACAGTAGCGCTCACACCCTGTCTCTCTGTGATGGCCCTCTGCCACGGCACCCTACCTTGGAGCCAGCCAACTGTGGACTGAACGCTCTACACACTGTGAGCTGAAATAAACTTCCCCTTTAACTTTGGGGCTTAGGTATTTTGTTTCAGCAATGAGAAAAAAGTAAGACTTTTTTCAGCTGAGTTTGTTTCCTGACTGTAAACACAGATAAAACTATTTACCTCCAGAGGCAGGAAACCCTCCTGGCAATTGGGAGGACAAATGAAAAGTGCTGAGAACAATGAATGACAGTAAACCTCTTGGTGACTATGAGCTGTTTTTGTAGTATTGAAACAAAATGATTTCTTTGTTTTGTTTTTGACTTTTAAGCATGCAGACACTTTGAGGTTTCACTTTGTGTACAGCCTTGTTTTGACTATAACAAGGTGATGCACTTGAGATTTCTGAAGAAATCATATACAAAGAGACAAGTACTGTAAAGAAACCCACGGGAAATCACGATTACTGTATGCCAGCAAAGCCCACAAAGCCTTTGAGGCACGAGACTGGGTTTCCTTCTGTCTCTGTACCTTCCCCACCCCTCAGCCCTGAAGGAGAGCCAGATACAACTTAGGTACTGAAGTGTCTGAGCTGTGCAAACATCTCAGCGTGCTCAGGCCTTCATATCACTGTGCCCCAGTATATTTTAACCATGAAATACAAGTGCGAGCTCTGGTGAGGGTCCCAACACAGAGCACCTAAGTGGTTTCTTCCTGGGGTATAAGAGCTTAATATGAGTGTTTAAAACTTTGTTCTCATGCCCACCCACATACTGCTTCCTAGAAAGTTGCCCTTCTCCTTGTCCTACCATGAAGCAGACTTCAATTCTCTAGCACCTACAGAGCAAATAGCTTCTTTTTTAAAATGTATTTGGTACAGGGTCTCACTTCACAGCTCAGACTTGTAGTGATCCTTCTGTTTTTAGCCTCCCCAGCACTGGGATCATAGGTATATGCCACCATGCCCGTTCTTGGTGGCTGGCTCAGAGGGGCTTGTGCAGCATGTCATGCCAGGGATTGAAACCCAGTCCTTGCACTTGCCTAAGCAGGCACTTAGCCCACTGAACTATCTCACTGGCCCAAGAGCAAATAACTTTTAAGATTCTGCTTCACTGATCACTTTGATAGCTTGATTTACAGGAAATTGTGTACCAGATGGAGTTTCCTGTGTGGACACAGGAAATTTCCTGAAGTCAGATTTCTTAAATTTGGGTAATTTGTGATCTTTCTGCAATTGCTTTATCCTCTGATATCTTCATCTAGAATTTCCAGGGCCTCAACAAAATGAGATTGCTCTACTTTGGCTCCTGGGTAAGGGCACACTGGCTAAGGAGCACTTTATCCTGGGAAGGCACACAGCACAGAAAGACGCTTGCGCTCACCTGGCAAGCATCATGCAGGTTTGGTTGTTCTCCTCCACTCCGCGTGTCTCCGGCACAGAGCATATTGTCAGTAACAATTTTGTTGGACAGATGTTTTGATGTGCAGCGGCTGGGAGGGTACAGTCTGACGTGAGCCTCCTTCAAGCGCTCAGAATAGAAAGGAGAAGCTGGAAGAGAGGGGGGAAATGTCTTACAGTTGTAGAGAAAGTTATGTGGAGAGAAAACCAAAAATTTTAGTAACAGCTAATGTTGATCAAGCATTTGCAATGTTACTGAATTTGGTGCAGAGTTTCACAATAGCAGCACGGGCGGCACTGGCCCAGAGGGCATCTCATGCAGGGACTGTCCTGTGCACTCAGCCTTCCATCACAGAGGCCACAGCCCCTAGTGTCCAGACATGCTGCATGTTCCCTGGGCAGCAGGATCACCGGTTTCATAGCATATTATCTCATTTAATCCTATCATCTAGCAAGGAGCTAGTTGGGCATCCACCTTAGCACTATGGAAGCAGGCTTGAGGCATTTCACGATACAGAAGTCAAGGCCCAGCTGAGTGTGGTATGTGTGCCTGTAATTCTGGGTACTCAGCTGACACAAGAGGAACACCAGTTAAAGGCCAATCTGGGCAACTTAGTCAGACCCTATCTCAAATAAAACTAAGAAGACTGCTTTAGTACTATGGTGCAGGTCTTGAGTTGTCCCCCAAAGCTCAGTGTGAAAAGCTTGCTCCCAGCCTGAGGTGCAACTGCGAGGTGATGGAGCCTTGGGGAGGTGGGGCCCGGTGGTCACTGGAGATCCTGGGACCCCCTCCAGTCATGCACACATGCCTCAATGCCTGGGCCTTCACACTGAGTTCCATTGCCAGCTCTGTAGGTGTTTTTGTTGTGAGAAGACAGGGTCTTGCTAAGCTGCCAAGTAGCCTGCACTGGGCTTGAATTCCCAAAGTGCTGGGGTCCTGGGGATATGCTGCCATGTCTAGTTTCTCCTAGTTTTCTGGCTGGCATGAGGTGAGCAGCCTCTTGTGCTACAAGCTCCCACCATGATGACCCACATATCTAGATCCCCAAAGTGCTACACTCCCAAAACCTTCTCTCTTTTTAAGTTGATTTATCTCATGTATTTATTACATCAACAGAAAACTAATGAACAACTCCAAGGCCCCACAGCATAGCATGCAAACCCCATACCCTTCACTACTGCACAGAACTTTCTTGGAGGTCAAGTTCTTCACAACAACCTGTACCATTCAGGCTTTTGCCTTTACCTTTTCCTCACATGCAAGGAGGCAGGAGCCTCATTTGTATTTGTGTAGTGTAGTGCCAGTTCCTGCGACCACCATTGCTCCTGTGTGGGCCACCACTGCATGCCGTGCACCAGATAGACAGACAGGACCACTGGGACCCTTCCACTTACATGCCTCATGCCTGCCGTAGCCGGACAGCTCGCACTCGGTCCAGTCGGGCAGCTGCAGGTCGGCGTCGGGGAGACAGACAGTGCGCACAGCGCTGCTCTCCTGGGCACAGTGCCGTGAATCCGACTTCAGGCGCACCAAGGCTGGGGGAGGGCAGGGGAGAGTGCAGCTGACGTGGGGAGGAGCCCTTCCCAGCTGGGGCCTGGAGCAGAGTGCAGGCTGAAGGAGGAGGGAAGGGGCCTGAACAACCTCCCCTGCCAGTGAGGGACGTGGGGTTCTCTGTGCGCTCTGGAGCGTGAATGGGCAGGAAATCATGACATCTTACCAATGTCATTGTCGTAAGTGTCCTCATCAAAGTCCTTGTGGACGATATATTTTTCAACTTCAAATTTCTGCTCCTCTTCTCCAGGGACCACCCGGTATGTCCTGCCCAAGACCACCCAAAGTTTCTGAAAAGACCTAAGGAAGAAACGGTTTCAGAATGCTGTACTCTCAAGCGCCTGGTCCCACAGCCTCAGAGCACAGCGCCTTCTGCTGCCCCTACCTGTCCAGGAAGCAGTGCGCAGCAGACAGGACCCAGCAGGAGCTGATGAGTACGCCCCCACACCGAAACTGGTCTTCCTGTGACCTCTTGCTCCTGGTGAAGATGGCGGCCTGCCATGGGTGCGAGGTGATGTCTGCGTAGAGCCCTCCCTTGATGCGGAACTGCGGCCGCTGGTACTGGCGCAGGCCACAGGTGGCTGGGGAGCAGAGAGGGAGCTCAGACCTGGATGGCTGGCCCGAGCCTCTCCGGGGTCCAGAGGGATAGTGAGTTTCCATGCCATAAGAAACATCATTTTCACTTGTGGAGTGGACACACATAGCAGGGATGTGTATCCACTGCCCTTATCCCTCTCAACCTGACTGTCAAGGAGGCGGAGAAGTTTTTGTCCAAGACCACAGTGTCATCTGGAGCAGAACCCAGGTTGCTTTTACTCCCAACCTAGCAATGTTTCTGCTGTTTCATTCTCTTTTTTTCCTGCAACTACTTCTTTGCCAAAAATAATGAAGTATTGTGAATTTCCTCCTCAGGAACATCAGCATGTTTCTTCTACATCTACCCAGCCTTCCCATCCTCTTCTCAGAAAGGAAGAGGTGCCTCCTCACTGAGGGAGCCCCTGGCACGGCTCCTGAGGCCTCACTGTTGGTGACCTTATGGGGAGTTGACCAAGAATTCACCTTCCTCTCCCAGTCAGACCCTGCATCCTTTCAGAACATCCCAGCTCATTTTATGTTCACAGGAACTGAGTTAGCTCTTCTTGGGCAATTTCCAAACTAAAGTTTGTTTTGAGATCTTGCCAGCTTGAAGTTTCTGTCTCATACCCCTTACTATAACTCAGCTTTCCTGTGATAAATGGATTTTGCAGGAAATATGGAAGAGCTCACAGCAAAAGTGCAATCCTGAGAGACGGGACAGGCCCCAGCTTTGCCTCTCGGAGCCCAGGGAGCCTGTGCGGGCTGTGTGGGACTTCTGAGAGCACATTTTCTAATTTCACTGGGGGATCAGGCAAATGTGGAGAGTCACCCCCTTCTCTAAGGAGCCACAGAGGCATGATCTCCTCCCTCTCCTCATCCATCAGTGCAGACCTCCCTAGAGAGAGATAGCCAGACAGGAAGTTTTGAGGGAAATCGGTGTGCTCTTTTTCTTCTTTTGGCACCTTACCATCACCCCGAACCCTTTCCTGGAGCATCTCCGCCCACCATTTTGAGTCAGGGAAGCCTCTCCCTACCACACGTGACCCCTGAAGCCTGGCATTTTCACAGTCTAAAAGGCACACTGCAGCTCAGAGTACAGTAGAGAACTGAGATGAGGCACAGGGAGGTGCCCAAAGGCTGCTCTTACAGCACTGGGACAGATCACAGTATTCCCGGGTCGGTTTGCGGTCCTTCAGCACATGGCACCAGGGCTTGGCATCCCCATCTGGGTTCCTAGGTGAGAAGGGAATTTAAGGTCTCCAGGCACATTTTCACTCACATTGCAGGCCACAGAGGGGTAGGACAAGGCTCATTAAACCAATGGTACACATCTGAATGGGGGAGGGGGGAGGGCAAGAGGAACTCCAGCAGATCCCAAACACAGGCAAATAAATTTCTCTTTTGACTTTGCTATTTTATCAGTAACATACTCTCATCTCATAGGGTTATTGGGAGAAACTAGGAGCTGATCTGTGAAGAAACCTTTACAGGCACTGCAGTGTCATGGGGCACAGAGGGGGACTGATGGTCTTGGGCAGGACCTGGGACCTGGGGTCAGCACAGAAACACTAGGGATATTTTTCAAAACTAAATCTTATTCTAGAAAATGAATAACTTGGCCTAGAGCAGTGGTGGTGACCTGGGGCAGCACCCATGCTGCAGCCAGCCGCTCATCATTGAAAGCTCTAAAAGGTTCACCATTGCTGACCTAGATAACGTCCACAGTTCCTTCTCCAGCTGAACGGACCTTTCCTATAACTTTCAGCATTAAATCCTCTCCCACCTCCCACCTCAAATCCTCTCTCTACCCAGGCCCAAACCCCTCCAACCCTATGCTGCATACCGGCAATAATTATGTTTGCCCACGCCCAGAGCCTGGAAGTGGAACTTCCATGCCATGTAGCCCCTTCCTCTCAGGATCACAGAGTCCCACGGGAGGCAGGAGGCCCCGGATGTGGTAAGGCTGTGGGTGCCACGGTATGTTGACCCATTCCCAACGTAGCAGTTCTCATTCTTTCCTGGAACAAAAGAAATCTCAAGCTGAAACAAGACCAGTCTAATGAGGCAGGCAAGCTCAGGTATTGAGGTGGAGGGCTGGCCTGGGAACATAAGGTGGCCACTCCTCTGTGGAGAAGGGTGTGGCCTCTCCAGTTTCTCCATTTTTTGTCTTCAAGCACTTTTATTTAGAGATGACAAATGAGCTTTGCTACAGTTTGATCTTCAGTGTCTCCCAAAGGCCCACGTAATAAAGGCTGGATCTCAGCCCTGTGCTGTTGGAGGTGTAGAACCTTTAAGGAGTGGGGCCTATTGAGAGGTCTTTAGGTCACTGGGGGTGTGTCCTTGAAGGTGAATGGATACAGTTGTCTTTCTTCCTTTTCCTGCCTATGAATGAACCACTTTATCTTAGAACTGGTTCCTACCACGATGGCTACCACAAGAACAAAGTAAAGGATTCACTAATCACAGACTATACCTCTAAAACTGTGAGCCACAATACATCTTTTCTTTTTAAAAGTTAATTGTCTCAGGAAAGCACTATAGTGATACACAGCTCGCCCAGACTTCATGTCAGGTACCAGCTTCCATCAACTGACTTGGCTTCCTGGGTTCTGTGTGCAACAGAGCCTCAGGGGCTGGTTATTCAGGTTACCACTGTGGTGCTGACTCTTGAAGCTGCTTTGAATATGAGTTACAACTCTTTGTATTTGATGGTTGCATGGCCTTCAGTGGTTGCTGTGCTGGCAGGTCCTGCTTTCTTGGATTTTTGTCTGCCAGTGTTACAAAGGACTCATGGGCTTGGGAGACAGAGGACGGCCCTAGAGTGCCACCTACTTTCACCTACTTGCCCCATCCTTCCTTCTTTTCTCCCATTTGAAACGGATACACTTGGGGCTGGGGAGATGGCTCAGTGGAATAAGCCCTTCCTGGCAAGCGCAAGGGCCTGAGTTCAATCCCCGGTTCCACCAAAAAAAAAGAAAAAGAAAAACTGATACACCTCTTTACACAAATGCCATAATTAGAAACAGACTGTGAGAATATCTCAAACTGCAACTCCAAATTTGACCAAATCCTTGGGGTAGGAAGGATGTTTTAGACTTGTCAAGAGTCTTCATATTAGGCTGGCCAGATAGTCTAGGGGATTAAACAGCCTGCTTAGGCAGATGAAGGGGCCAGACTGGATCCCTGGAGTGTGGCCCTGTCCCCAGAGCATGCTGAGATGGCGATTGACACTGGGTGTGGTGGCACGTGCCTGTAATCCCAGCGCTTGGGAGGTTGAAAAACAGGAGGATCACTGCAAATCAGATCTGTATAGTGAGACCCTGTACAAAAAAAGTCTTCATATTCCCAGTTGTATTTTTTTTTTCATTCTGGGAAATTATTTCACATTAGAAGTTGAGTGAGCCGATTGATAAAGCATCTCATACTCTCCAGGCTAATAAGTGAAAGAGAACTTGAAATACTCCAATAATGCAGCAAAATCTTTATCACTGTAGCTTGGTTTTTATTTCTTTATGACAAACAGGCAAGTACTGTCAGACAACCAAAGGTGTTCCAACTGTCCCTTGGCTTACACCCTATTTTAAGGGTATTTTGGGGGAATAAAGTTCATAATGTTAATTGAAGGTCAAAGTAAGACCCCATGGACTGAAGCTTGACAATGAAAAATATGTTTACATATACTAGAGAACATACGCACAAGAAAAATAAATCAGACCCGCATGTGCAAACATTGTATTATATCCTTTTGTGAGAAACTGAAAGAGAAAAATGGAATCTGAAGGGTAAAATAGGTACTGGGAAAAGGGAATGAACTTATTCAAAAAAAAAAAAAGTTCCTGAGTTGAGGGGAAGGACAGGAGAGGGAGTAAAGGAAAGAGATTTAGCTATGTACGTAAGCAGGATGGTTTGGACAACTGTCCTGTGCATTTCTGCCTGTCTATGGAAAGGAGAGATAAAGCTTTAATTTGTTTAATTTCCTTTTGTTTTTCTTATTTTATTATACATTTCTTTATTTTTTTCTTTTTTCTTCCAATTTTACATGTGTGTATCTGGTAATATGGATAACTGGTTGAAAGACAACACTATGTATTACAACAAATACTGTGAAATTCATACTTTGTTAAGTGAAATTCTATATCATTTGTAATTTTTCGTTGTAGCTCTAACTTGTACTCTATTTAAAAAAATAAAAAACTAATAACATAAAAAAAAAAAGAAGTTGAGTGAGAGAGAGAAAGACAGAGCACCTTACCAATGCAAAAAGAATATCCATTCATTTTTAAAAAGGACTGGAAACAACTGCATCAGCCCCATTCACTCCTCTAGGTGAGGACACTGAAGGTCAGAGGGCTGAAGAGAAGAGCTCAAGGTCCAGCACAAAGCCAGAGGCCAAGCCAGGTGAGGACTTGCATTCTCCCTGCAACTGTAATAAGCACCTCCCAGCCGATTCCTTCTGTTTTGAGAATGTCAGCCCTGTCCTCCTGAAGCATCTCCCAAGTAATGGCGGGGGCAGAAGGGTGGCTGTCACTCACCCTTAGAGCAGGCTGGCGTGCTGCAGAACTCCGGAGTATACTTTCCTGCCTTGAAGACATAACACCAGGGCTTCGAGTCTTCGTCTGGGTTTCTGCAAAATCAGCCAAGGAGGTCATGAAGGTTAAGTAAGCTGAGGAGATAGCTCAGCAGCTTGAGTGCCTACTTGGCAAGTGCAAGAACCTGAGTTCAATCCCAATACCAAAAAAAAAAAAAAAAAAAAAAGAATGAAGCTTACCTCTCAGGAAAGGATTCTGTGTACTCATTGAGGGAAATAGTGTGTTTTGGGTTGAGCATGACTTGTTTGTCTTTCTTAGATTTTATCGACATTGGTGGCAGTGGCAGTGCAGCAGAGAAGCAGAAATAAAAAGGGGGGGGGGGGCTTTAATAACTCTGAAGACCCAGAGAGGATTGTAGGCAAGGAGATGGGGAGATCCTCTGATGTGAGACAGGGAGCCTGAGGCCTTATGGACTTTTTCTGGAGGCGGAGCTTGAGGGGCGGGGTCAGTGACATAAAGGGAGCTGATTGGAGGCTCCCTTGTGTGGGCGGGAAAGGTAAAAGGAAGTTGTATTCAGGGCTGGAGTGGGGAAGAAGGAGCAAGTGGTTACTGGGAAGATAAACTGTTGTTCTGGGGATTCAGCCATGTTGGATTAGGGCCAGGATAATCTAGCAGTCTGTACTCAGGCAAGAACCTAGCAGTTTTTATGTGGAGTTTAAGTGTGGCTAAAGGAAATGAACATGGGTGCTGAAGTGATAAAGGCCGGACAAAAGCCACTCTTGTGTGACATCACTCTGGATAGGCCACAGTGGCAGATAAAGACCAAACATTAATGTAGGTGTCGCAGGGAAGGCTCTTAGTGGCTGTAGTTAGCATTTGCTATCAGTCGATCTTCCTGAGATCAGCCCTGATAACGCGGCAGGCCTGTGAAAGTTAGTCCCCAGGCTTATACAGCCAAGCATTTGCAGCAAACACTGGGAGACTGGGCCTGAGGGGACTGCTCTACACCTGTCTGAGACTCTGGTTTGCTGGCTTCCTCACCGACCTCAGGCACCACAAGGGTGGGACCAGCCTCTGCATTTGTCTGTTTGTCATACTGCTTGTTTCTCTAAGAACCTGCCTAGTGAGATGCAGGTCTTCTCCCCTCCAGAAGCTGGAAGATGCAGGAGGGTGGTGCTCACCTGCAGTAGTTGTGGTTCCCAAGGCCCAACCAGATGGCATCTGGCCTCCGAGCATTGTAGAGCTTCAGAGTCAGCACGCTGCTGTTCCAGTTGACACACTCAGCCCCACTCTGTGCTGTGCTCCACGTGCCCCTGTAGGAGATTCCCTGGTCCTTGTAGCAGGTGACTCTGGAATCTGATGGAGAAAGGGCACAGCCCTGTGTGTGAGGGCCCAGCTGCTCCTGGCAGGATCTCAGGCAGCAACTGCCTTTGCCTCCTACCCCTGGGCCACTATGTGGTTCCCTGACCCCCCTCCAGCCTGCCTTGGTCCTCACCCTGTGCCTTCTTTCCCATCCAGACTGATCTGGGGTATAGGGGTATGGTGCCTCTCACACCCTACCTCAGCACTCACCTATTTCACAGCGTTTCCCCATAAACCCTTCAGGGCACTGGCAGACGAAGTCTGAGAAATAAAGGGCCTGTCGGCAAGTCCCTCCATTGAAACACCTGGGTTCGCTGCAGCCTGTCAGATGAAGACAAAGAAGCCCCTGTCACATTCCGAGCCACTGCGAGGACAGCAAGAACTGATGTTTTACTGGTGCCCTCCACATCCCAGCCCCTGTTCTGCTCATTTATTCAGATGAACTCATGGAAACCTTGAGCCGCCCATGACACATACTACTGTCATCCTCCTCAGTTCATATAGGAGGAAACTGAGGCTGGGCAAGGGAAGACCTTGCCCTGAGCACCCAGGTTTGCACCTGTTTGCTGTGCCCGCTCCCCTTGCCTGTAGTAGGTCTGGCCCCATCTCCTTCAGAGGTTTATGTAAGCTGGGGCTGAGAGCCTGGGCTGGTGTGGGTACCTACTCTTGACAGGCACCGAGTGGCACTGTGGTCTGCCTCCTTTACACCAGCAGAATTCCACGCGGTTGGCTCTGAGTTGGGGGCGCAGCCATGACTCATTCTGCTGGTAAGTCGTCTGCGTCTTCTCATCCCTGCAGGTCCCTGAAACACAGACAGTTGACCTCCTTAGGCTCTTACTGGAGGCCTACAGGAAAATCTTTCACCACATAGTCCGCCTTCTGTGTCTGCAGGTTCTGCGTCCATGGACTTCATTAACCTGGGTCTAAGGTGGCCGTGGCCATGTCCATACTGCAACCTACGGGCATGCCTGTCACCCTCTACACAGTGTAGCATTAGAAAATTGTATTGGCAGCCTAGAGGTGCTATGCAGTGTACAGGAAGAAATGCATAGGTTCATTTCACATAAAGGACTCGAGGATCTGGGGGCGATTTGTGGATGCCAGAGTTCCTGGGACTGATCCCCATGGACACGAGGGATGGCTACAGTCTATTGTAGGTCCCTTAGGAATGTGACTGGAAGGGAATGAATAGCTAATGTTTTATCACCAAGGACCACTTTGATTGTTTTTCCCTCTGGTGAGCCCTTGTTTTAAAAGCACTTATTTATCATTCAAAATACATGTATTAAGTAATACTATAACTTTTCATTTTATTTATTTTTTTTTTGCACAGAATGCCTTCAGGGCAGGTTTGGCTGGCTTGAGTTGTGGGGATCAAACCACAGCAACCTGAGCCTGACTGCTTTGTTGAAGCAGTCACTTAAAGAACTGAGCTAAGGGGCAGGCCCCCCTTTTCATTTTAATCCATTAAAATATATGCAATTTCTGGCCCCAAATAGAAAAAATTGATCTTCTAGTCTGAAAAATCTGCAGAAATTATGCTGCTTCCTATGGTATGTTTGATATAATGAGAATAGTTAAAATAGTTCTGTTAATGTTTAATGTTTTTCTGTTTTCAAACCACAAGTCCAGGGGGCCTGTCCCTTAGCTCAGTTCTTTAAGTGGCTGCTTAAACAAAGCAGTCAGGCTCAGGTTGCTGCGGTTCCATCCCCAGACCTCAAGCCAGCCAAACCTGCCCTGAAGACATTCTGAGCCAGTCCAAAAAAAAAAAAAAAAATTTGGTAGGAGGGAAACCTGAAGGCAAAAAAAAAAAAAAAAAAATCCTTCAAACCAGAAGTCCAATTAAAACACACACACACACACACACACACACACACACACACACACACACATGCACACACTATAACTAATGCAGGCAGTGACATATCCTCCCTGGAGACAATGTCCTTGCTTCTGAAGGCCTGCAAAGGCCAAGATGCTCTCCATCAGCAAAACTAGTACAAGCCAGTGTGACTTGGAGAAAATTCCACTTTGAAAGAGTTGAGGTCAGGCCTGGGAGCACAAGCCTTTAACTGCAGCAGTGTGGGAGGCTGAGGCAGGCAGAGCACCAAGTTCAAGCTCAGTGTGGGCAATCTAGTGACCTAGCAAGACTGTCTGAAAATAAAAAAAGGCCTGGGGATGTGGTTCAGTTTGAAGGCCCTGGGTCCAATCCCAAGTGCTGCAGAAAGTGGCAGTGGGGGTTGATGTCTTCCAGACCCGACCAAGTCTGAGGGAAGAGGGCTGGGGCTCCAGACTACTAGTTTGGGACTTGAAGTGGGCTGAAAGCAATTTCAGTCAAGACAAGGGCTGTGATCATCTTTGTCCTTGGGATCTGGATGAATGTCAGCACTAGCCACGGACCTTAGGAAGGGATTTTTGCCACAGTGTCTGTGATGTAGCCCAGGCAAGTTATCCCCATTTTACCAATAGGAAGAGATGGAAGCAGATGCCAACTAACAATGGCTAAGAAGACCTGGCAGTTTGAAGGGCCCAGGAGGGCCTAGCAGCAGCCATCATGGTTCTGGGCCTGTCAACTGCCTGGCCTTACACAGGTTACACAGTCTATCATGACCTTGTTTTCTCTTCAGTGTATCAAGGCCCCTGGGCCGCTAAGCCCCAGCCTTCCTCCTGCTTTGGGACTCCCAGTAGCTGGCTCCTCCTCTCAGGAGCTGACTAATCTGTTCTCACAGGGAGAAGAGGAATCCTGCTTATCTAGGGCACCTGATATCCTGGCCCCAGGGCCTGCACCGGCCTCCTGTTTCCATCCCCTCACCACCGCTTCTTCTCACCTCTGTAGGACCTAGCACCTCTTCTGAACCGGATGTGGGTTTTCTGCAAAGAGAGAGGGAAGAGGGGATCAGTATACACCAGAAGAAGAGCCTCTTGGACCTGCTGGGCAGATGCCTCAGCGGTCCTGGGGAGGACAACAGCCATTTCCTGCCTGGCCTCTAACTCTTCCTCTCTCCTCCTAGCCCAGCACGGTCCAGAAAACATTTTGCAAGACTGAAATGCTTCCCATATAGCAGTCACTAATCCCATTATGGCCAAGGAGGGGTTAAAATGTAGCTAGTGTGAACCAACTGAATTTTCAATTTTGTTTCGTATTACTTAATTTAAGTTTAAGTGGCTGCATGTACTTAGGGGCCACCACCCTGGACAGTACCACTGTGGCTCCTTGTGTTTTCTGAATAGCTTGGTCCTCGCTCCTTCAACCTCACAAGAGAGGTTCTGCTGCCTGCCTGGCACTGTGGGAAAGTGCACATCTCTTCCAACCAGCATTAGGGGGCAGGTTTCTGGCTCCTATACCTCAAAGTGCTTGTGGTATCTTTTATAAGTGCTTTATGGATCAACCCAAACATTTTCTTTCAATCAATCAATCAATCAATCAATCAATCAATCAATCTCCAAAGAAAGCAGAGGCAGGGGAGTGGAAGTAAGAACTATTGCTGGAGTCAGAATAAGCATCCAGGTTCTGACATGGGAACTTGAACCCCAGCCCTCTCGTCCAGAAGGGACACGTTCGTACAAGCTATGGCTATGCAGGGCCTGTGCCGCTTCTCTTGTTCCCTCTTGGACAGCTTCCCACCACTGGGATGCCAGAAGGACAGGTTCCTGGTTATGCTGGGCAGCCGTGGGCAGGATCCTCAGAGACGCAGGGTCACATACCTGGCCGGGCAGGGCGGAGACAGCCCCGCAAAGCATCAGCACACACAAGAGTGCTTGCCTCATCCTCCTCAGGGTGTCCTCAGCTTCCCTTCAGTTCTTCTAGAAGAGAAAAGAAGAGTGTGAGTGTGGGGAATAGGAGGGCAGAGTACAGCAAAACTAAAGGATCAAGACTCTACACAGCCCATCACCTAATCCTCCACCCAAGGGTCTGAAAGGTGATTTTAAAAACCTTCAGTGCTTTGGTGTTGAGGACCTATGTCACAGCTGTCACCACTAGCCACCTCCAGGCTCTATCATGAGCCGAGTCTACAGCCACTGAAGAACAACTTCCCTCTGCAGCCCTGGTAGCCAACCTTCTATAGTCTCTATCACCCTGACAAGTCGCACTTGAAACAAAAGTGGGCTCCTACAGTGTTTGCACTCGGCCTGGTGACTCCCTTGAGCACAGTGCCTGAGGTATCTCCAGGTCTCAGTGGTCAGAGTGCCCCTCCCCAGTGTCTCCTGGCTGAAAGGCGTCTGCTGTCTGGGTGAATCTCTTTGCTTGTCCACTCTTGTGATGTGGCCTTGGTGATGGACAAGCAATTTGTTCAGGATATCTGTGAACTGAAAGGCAAGACCATCCCTGTGTTTTGTTGGCAGTCCAGGGATAGAGGTTCAGTTTCCAGGAAGGGAATTCCTGCCCTTTGGCCGGCTAGATGCAACCACAGACATCCTGCCTTTTCAGAGGATGCTGTAGGGATCTCACAGCTGCAAGTCCAGCACCGGCCACCCTTTTGCAGCCTGCTCAGCTCAGCACTCCTTGCAGACAGCACCACTTTCTCATTGCTGCCTCATCCCACAAAGTGTTGGTCCTTCCACTACAATGTCCCATCCCTCCCACTGACCCATCAGAATGTCTAACTTGTTTTATAGGCTTGTAACAGAGCTAGCAAAATCCAGATTTGCTAAAATAGAAGTGGCATCTGGTTTTGGTCAAAGACTCAGATCTTCCTGGATCCCACATTTTCGGTTTCCAGACACCTTGCCTTTGGCTCAGCCCTGAAAGTAGGTTAGCTGGATGAGTGTTGGGCTGTGGCCTGGCCTCTCACTCTCATCTTTTCCTTCCCTGACTCATTTCCTTGCAGTTACCAATGGTTCGTACCCTTCCCCCAGCCTCAGGCCCCAGGCAGCTGTCTGTGAAGGGCTTCTTGGAAGACCACTGGCTCCCTACAGGGCTACAGATCCTTTCAGGGCCAGGATGAGGTAGAAAGAGATTTCTGCCTGGCTATTTTTTCTGGAGCTGCTGGTGACTGGCCTAAGGGAGGGAGAGTCCAGCAGGGGGCTGAGCAGTATGGGGAACATGCCAGCCCCCTCCCTGACCTTCCTCTGGCTGGGAACCAGGGGGTGCTTCTGGCCTTGCTTTCCCTTCCGGTAGCCAGGGCCTCCCTATGGGGAGAGGCATCAGTACTCTGGAGCCTTCTTTTACTCGGGACAGCCATGCCACCAACTCTCCAGTTTTGGGCAGTTCCAGAAGAAAGGAACTAGGCAGGAGAGGCTGTCAAGAATAGAAGCCTGTCTAATGGAATCTCCTGATTACAGGGAGTTTTCCAGATTTACTTTTTCTCAGCTTTCTTCAAATTTCTCCTATCTCAAAATTCTGTTTAAATTTCCCTTTTAAAGTTTATTCCTTCCTTACACCCTTTAAAACAGACCTCAGACTTATTCTCCCTTCCTTCCCCCAGGTTCTGCCTGCAGCCAGTCCTAGGTCAGCCTGGAGTAGAGAGGACTCTGCATACCTGGAACTTCAGAAGGAAGTGTGAGTTTCATTCATTACACAAATGAGTATATGAACCAAGATGGACAGTAAACTCTTTTTCACCTTTCTGTCAAAGCACCCAGCCCTTTCAGTCCCCAACTCACTAACCCATGGGACCCTGTGAGTCTTTTTTGGACACCAAGTTATTATCTCACACAAAGAATCAGAGTCCTCCTGCATGGACTCCTACCTTAGATCTTGGCAGTCATAGGGGAAAGGCTTGCCACATTTGCTCCCCTATGCTCCCCTGGGACGGACTCTTCTTTGGTAAGTGGGAGTGGGCAGTGGGGACACATGTGGGGTGCAGGACAGGCTGAAGCAGACCTGTACATGCGCCACCTTTAGCCCTGTCACAATCTGAGAATGTACATGAGGATTCAAGTGTGGTCCCCTCTGTGCTCAGGGGAGAGCTGGAGATCCCGTCTTTACCTCCCATGGCCTTTGACCTCCTGGGTTTTGAGCCCAGCAGCAAAACCTCCCTTCAAATACACAAGCTGGTGGGGAGCTGGGCTTGACAAAGAAATGAGTCATCCTGGCCCAGAAAAGAGGCTCAGTCTAAGACAAGGGAGGGTGGGGGGAGTGTGTCTTTGTTTGGACTTAACTGGAGGCATGGGCAGGGAGCATAGGGCCTGGAGGCGGAACAAAGTGAATACCAGAAGGGAGACTCAGACCCAGATCCCACAGGCCAGGCCAGACTGATTGCCTAGACCCATGGGGAAGCCACGGCCTCAGGGTTGCCAGCCAGGAGGCCTCGCTGGGGTCAAATACAAGAAGCCTTCCAGAGGCTCAGTTCACAAACACACTTGCAACTTTCTCTGCCTGTGTTCTCTACCTTTTGCTATACATAATGGTTTCCCAATACTGTGAAGGATTAGAAAAACAAAAAAGATGATAAGAGGCAAAAAAGGAAAGAACTGAGGGAGGGAAGGAGGGAAGAAAGAGAAGGGAAGCAGAGAGGCCAGCAGAAGGACTGAATGTTGCTCTGGAAGCCCTGAGTACAGAATGAAAAGAGGGGTGTAATGTAAGGCCTTCGGTCTCCAAGGCCCCAAAGCCCAACCCTGTCTGGCACACCCTAACATGCAAAGTTGGTTTTTGTAGCTTTCTAAGAGGCACTATCTCTGGTGAGTAAAGTTCAGACTTAGGGAGTGACAAGTTGACAGATTCCATACATTAAAAAAAATCCAAAGAGCATAGCTTAGCAAATAAAGCACACCCTAGGTCACAAGAGTGTGTGGGCAGGCATCTTTGTACAGTGCCCAACCTGCACATCCATACCCATCCAGCCTTGTCTACTCCAATTTGCATGCTTGTCTCACAGGGCAACTTGAGTCTTCCTTCCTGGGAGTTGTGTACAGTCCTGTAGGACCCAGCAACAGTGACTGTTCACTGGCTTCCCTGAATAATCTTCAAAAAAATGACTGTGCCAGAGTAAGAAAAAGTCATGTAAGTAAGAGCAGGCAAATTTGGCATAAGCAGCCCTCCTGTGAGATGTGCCATTTCCAGGGCAAAGGCAGCCTGCCCTTGTGGACACTGTACAAGGATACCTGCCCACACTCCCTTGCCATCTAGGGTGTGCTTTATCTGCTAAGCCATGTGCTTTGTGATTTTAAAAAATTTATGGAATCTGTCAACATGCCAAGCCATGCATGCTGATGACTGCACCAGCCAGAAAGTGGTATTCATTCCTGCAGGGTGCCCAATATAGGAGGCACTGAAGGGCACTGGGCAGTAACTGATTCTGGGTGGTGGTAAGGGCTTGAGGAAGGGCCCTGGGGAAGGCAGACACCACATTGGCCTCAGCACCTCTGTATTGCCCACCTCCTCCCTTTTCTCTGTCTTCCCTCTTAAACATCTGCTCTCAAGGAAGGAACTGATAAACTCATCCACCTAAGATGCCATGGGGAGTATGCATGTTTGGAGACAAGGTCTGCCTCAGTGATGCAGATGCCAGGGGCTCAGGTTCATGGGGCAGGGATCTGAGGCTGCATCACCAGAAGGAAGGCAATGGGGAGTGTGTGCATGCACCTGAGAGGGGCCACCTGGCTAAATGGGTATAGGTGCTCCAAAAGCACTCGGCCACCTGCTGTGCTCTCTGTCTTCTTGTCTCTCTGTTGCCTCTGTCTCTGTGTGGATCTCTGTCTCTCTGTCTGTCTCTTTCTCTCTGTCTCTGTCTCTCTCTCTCTCTCTCTCTCTCTCTCTCTCTCTCTCTCTCTCTCTCTCCTTTTGTTTTGCGGTACTGGGGATTGAACCCAGGGCTTTTGCACTGAGCTGCATCTGCAGCACTTGGTTTTATTTTGCCTGAAGTTGACCAGGCTGGACTGGAACTTGTGACCTTTCTGATTTGCAGTGGAGCAACCACATAAATACAATCACCAGTCAATCCAGTTTCATGATTCTGGGTGTTCACAAGCTTGCTCTTGCCAGGACAGAAACATGAGCAAGCTGAAAAAGGATGGAAATGGCCAGGGAAGGGCCAATGCGAACTGGGACTGCTCTCAAATTGCATATCATTTACAAGGTTTGCTGTGTCTGTGGTGAAGGAGAGCTTTAGGTTACTATTGCTTTGCAAAACCTTTCTGAAGCTCTGAGTAAAAGTCTCCAAGTGGCTGACTGGCTGGGAAGCAGCACGCTCCCACCCTCCATTCCCAGAAACCACAGCCAGATGGATGTCAACAGACTAGAAAAAAAGGCAGCAAGAGCAAAGATACATTTCTAAAGAAACATGAGCTGAGGCAGAGCCAGGCCTGTGAGTGCATGTCTATAATCTCAGCACTCTGGGAAACTGAAGCAGGAAGGTTGCAGGTTCAGCCCAACCTGGATTACTTAGGGACTTAGCAAGACTCTGTCTTAAAATAAAAAGAGAAAGAGAAAGAAAGGGAGAAAGGAAGGAGGGAGAGAGGGAGGGAGGGAGGGAGGCAGGGAGGAAGGAGGAGGTGAGGTTCTGGAGTGAGTAAAGCCATGCAGGAGGCCAGAAGTCTCCCCCACAGCTCACCTTGGTAGGAGCAGAGTCTGCCCTCCGGCTGGGCTGCATGAGCAGCTGCTGCCATCGCCAGAGCCCCATGCTCTGAGTCTTGCCTGCCGCCACCTAAGCAATTCCTAACTCTTCACAAAGTGATTCTCCCCTCACAAAATTGCTTATTTTCTCTCTTGAAGAACACCCTTTCACAAGGTAGAGAGAGGAGCCGAGATGGTCTCCTAAGTGCAGGGAGCTGAACAGACTAGAACCCTGAATCCCATTGCACCTGTCAGGGAAGGATTCTTTTGAAAGCATCTGCAAAACCTGGGCATGACCTATGTCTAGAGA